ATATTTTTGGCGAACCTACGGGCTCGGAGAAACCATGCTAACCTCGGCCTTGTGCCACATACATCCAGCGTGGGGGGATGTTAAATATCAACAGTGATATAAACTGTTTAACTGTCAAACTCTCTGCCTTGAGAGGAAACCGGACGAGGCTTTGCCGAAGGTCAAGGTTTCATCCAGTAAGGTAGACAGACACTGAACCCGTTTATACGGGTTTTAAGAGAATATTTTTGGCTGAGCCCACGGGCTAGGAGAATGCATGGTAAACTCGGCCTTGTCCCACATATATCCCTCGTTGCTGTTAAATATTAACAGTAACATAGACTGAACGCTGGTCAGCCGATACACACTCACAAATAGTGTAACACACTTCTGTTGTATTTACTGTTCAACACCCGATTTATCTGCAAACTCTTGTTCTATTATTTCTTAACCATTTGCTTGGTCATAACACATAACTATCACAACGTTTCGGCCGTTGTAAACCCCGGCCTTCTTCAGGAGGTTGGACTATCGAACTGAACCCTTTATTTCTCTCGCTGGGGTAGACTGTTCAAGTTCAACGTGAGATGTCTAATGGATGTCAGTTATCAGTTATCTCCTGTTAATTAAACTCTCCAAGTTATCCACTGCCTTAACCAGGTATTGAACTCACAACTTTTTGGGTCATAACACTGGAACTAACCAACACCTTTATCCACTGTACCATCTGTAGACAAATAAAAGATTTGTATCGCTTCAACTACAGATTAAATGTATTTTTGCTCATTTTGCTATAAAATGTATTGTTGGAATTTTACTATAAATATAAGTCGTTGGTAATTTTTATATATAAAATGTATTGCGATTTTTTTTACTATAAAATATATATTTTTATACTTTTGTAGAGTTTTGGGATTCACTATTTGTCCATAGCTGGGGGCCTAACAGATGCTACAACCCCCGGATCAAGGGGGACTTGGGAACAACTTCAATTAAGAGGTGGTCCCCCGTTTCTCAAAACCTCCAATCTCCCGATCAGAGGCCTTGCTGTTGGTTGTAGTTTTTCGTCTTCTAAAGAACTAGACAGACTTGTGAAATTACGTCTGTGCGTAAGAGGTTGCTGGGAGAAAAATTCGGCACCCACAAAGCAGCATAAATGACATTGAACTCTATCACAACCGGAAATTTAAGATAGGATTTATTAAACGCTATATTTTAATAAATATTCACCGAAGACAAGTACAAGAGCCACTCAAGGTAGAGGCTACTGCCAGATTTTACTATATGGAAGTAAAAGGAGGAAGCAAGTGCTGATTATGCGAATGTATAGGAATAGGTTATGAGGCACGGTGGATTAATGGATAGCGGCTCGAATTAAAGAATTGGAGAGCCGAGTTCGAATTCCAATCAAATCCTTTGCATTCACTAACGTGTTTATACCGTTGGGAAAGGTATGAATCATCTTCTTCTCCCACCAGCTATAGGTAAATAGCAGGGAAGACCGGGTTCTATAGCCTTAGACGGCAACTGGTCTACTGCAGAAGGAAATGGCAACCTACTGCGGGAAAAAATCTGTCTCGTAAGTCATTTATCGAAAGATACATGATCGTCTAAGCGTGTATCACGCATGACACATAGCTGACTGATAGGATAGATTACGATTAATTCTACAATTGGAGAGGTTATGATTGTAGCGATCTGGGGAGTATCCCCTCGGGAGTTCTTTTCGGAAATGTAGGAATGAGGATGTAGATGCTATGGAGTGTCCTTACTTTGAAAGTTTGAACTGGTGGAACTAAGGATTTAATTAATCTAAACATTTGATATAGGCGCAGCATATATACGGCCTTATGTCAGATTTGGGGAAAGACACAACCTAACATTGTTCTAGACATAAAATTCTAAGACTATCTTTAATTTTCTCCCACCAATATTAATATTTATAACATGATTTTAAAGAAAATAAATAATTGAACAGAAATAAAATAATAAACGATTTTTTTATTCCTCTTTTTTCTGATTACTTTTTTTATTTATGACCGCGGAAAGTAAAATGAAATAAAAAAAGGAAGAATTATTTTTTAAATCAACTTTTCTCGGATTCATATGCTGTCTTTTGAAAGGTACGTCGACTAAATCTAATAATCACCGATAAAATTCATACGCTTTTTGCAAGTTGCCTGACAAAAGGAGATAATTTAATACTTCGTAATGTGAATGCTTATTTCCTGAAAAGCCATTTTGGGAAGATTTTCGTTGTGGCGATAGTTTCGTCTATCTTGCAGCAATAATCTATTGCCGAGTGCAGAAGGCAACAGATACATTTTCTTTTTCAGTCTTTATTTTTTATCATTTCACCCCAAGCAAGGCGATAATTCTAATAAGACACAAGCAGCTACTTGGAGTAAAAGAGAACGAGAAAACTTTAGAATAAACCGGAAACCCAATCCTAAAGAGGAAACAAGAAATAAACCTCTACTTCTGTTCAAAAGTACTGGTGGGGAAGATTAAAACGGGCGGTAGACAGATCTGTCTATTCCCTGTTGAGGAAAAATAAATAAATAAATAGTAAATACAATTTCAGAGATTATTCAGCGACCCTAGGAGTATGGAGTCGAAGTAGACATTATAAGATAGCGGAAACCAAATCCTAAACTGGAAACAAAGGATAAATCTCTACCCCTGCTCAAAAGAATGGCAGAGAAGTGTCAGCCTAACAAAACGCAAACTTATCTACGTATGCTTTTTTTTTTTTTTTTTTAAATCGGAAAAGTATTCGTACGTACGTTTTGCTTTATGTTTTTCATACCTAGTTTTCATGATTTTTTTTACTGCTTATCAACATTTGCAGATTATCTAAAAGCAGAAAATATTTTTCGATGTACGAATCTCTTTCATTCACTGTTGTGAAAAACCAACCATGAAGGTTTGTGTTGAAGTAAAGCTGCTAAAGACTTTTTTCTTTCTCCTAGACTGGTTGCCAATCAAGGCTATGGGACCCAATATGTCCTGATACTTATCCATCACCGGGGGTGAGCAATGAATGCATAGCTTTCCCAAGGGTACGTAAGTGAATGTAATAAACTCGACATAAATTCAAACTCGGCTCTGCTATTCCTAAGTCTGAGTCATTATAATTTACTCCGCCTTAAAAGAATCTATCGTTGCATTCATTTCTGTGCAAATATACTGGGGCGAACAGAAATCAAACAGTTGTATCCTATCCGCCCCTAAAATCGCGCATTAGACCAGCGAGATAGGGTAAAGGCTTATTACCCTACAATATTTGGGATAAACCTACTTGCAACAAAGAATTTTCTCAGACTGAGAAGACAAAGAAGAAAGCTCTTAAATCATTTTTGCATTTGTCACTTTCTTATGTCTATGTGACAACTTTGATCCTAATCAATGAAATACCCTCCAAACATTTTATCCATATCACTTCTTAACCTCTGGAGTGTAATTAATCTTAGATATCAATCAGCTTTATACCTCTTTATTTCAATTTCTGTCAAATTCGTTCAGCAGACGTCTCTGAAATTAGTTGTCAATCATTTAATTGGTGGCTATATTGTATTTTTATCTTTCTTCCACAGGTTATGATCGATTTATGAGGATGGGTTCATGGCCATATTTCACGACATAAACTGCCATCTCTATCATTAATAATGAAAACTGAATAAAGTGAATGCTGTTAATATAAATTTATTGCATAAAATAGATTGAACATTAAGCTACAGATATATCTCTCTTCATCAGTATGTTTAGATCTATCTATCTATCTATCTAAAAAATAAATAAATAGTAAATACAATTTCAGAGATTATTCAGCGACATTAGGAGTATGGAGTCGAAGTAGACCTTATAAGATAGCGGAAACCAAATCCTAAACTGGAAACAAAGGATAAATCTCTACCCCTGCCCAAAAGAATGGCAGAGAAGTGTCAGCCTAACAAAACGCTAACTTATCTACGTCTGCTTTTTGGGTTTGTTTTTTTTTAGGGGAAGGGGTTAAACAGGAAAAGTATTCGTACATACGTTTTGCTTTACGTTTTTCATACCTAGTTTTCAAGAAATGATTGATTCCTTAGTTTTTTTTGGGGGGGGTTCGGTTTATCAATTTTTGCAGATTACTTAAAGCCAGAAAATATTTTTCGATGTAAGAATCTTTTGCATTCTCTGTTGTGAAAAACCAACCATGAAGGTTTGTGTTGAAGTAAAGCTGCTAAATACTTTTTTCTTTCTCCTAGACTTGTTGCCAATCAAGGCTATGGGGCCCAATATGTCCTGATATTTATCCATCACCGGGGGTGAGCAATGAATGCATAGCTTTCCCAAGGGTACGTATGTGAATGTAATAAACTCGACATAAATTCAAACTCGGCTCTGCTATTCCTAAGTCTGAGTCATTATAATTTACTCCGCCTTAAAAGAATCTATCGTTGCATTCACTTCTGTGCAAATATGCTGGGGCGAACAGAAATCAAACAGTTGTATCCTATCCGCCCCTAAAATCGCGCATTAGACCAGCGAGATAGGGTAAAGGCTTATTCCCCTACAATATTTGAGATAAACCTACTTGTAACAAATAATTTTCTCAGACTGAGAAGACAAAGAAGAAAGCTCTTAAATCATTTTTGCATTTGTCACTTTCTCATGTCTATGTGACAAATTTGATCAGTTTGATCTTAATCATTGAAATACCCTCCAAACATTTTATCCATATCACTTCTTAACCTCTGTAGGGTAATTAATCTTAGATATCAATCAGCTTTATACGTCTTTACTTCCATCTCTGTCAAATTCGTTCAGCAGACGTCTCTCAGATTAGTTGTCAATCATTTAATTGGTGGCTATATTTTATTTTTATTTTTCTTCCACAGGTTATGATCGATTTATGAGGATGGGTTCATGGCCATATTTCACGACATAAACTGCCATCTCTATCATTAATAATGAAAACTGAATAAAGTGAATGCTGTTAATATAAATTTATTGCATTAAATAGATTGATCATTAAG